ATAGAAATGAACACTTTTATTTAGCAAGGATGCTTTAAATTGATCAAAAATGATGATAAAGACATTTATAATGTTACAAAAGATTTCTATTTCAGATAAATGCTGTTCTTCTGAACTTTCTATTCATCAAAGAAACCTGAAAAAATTCTACTCAGCTGTTTTCAACATAATAATATGATTTTTGAGCAGCAAATCAGAATATTCTAATGATTTCTGAGGGATCATGTGACTGGAGTAATGATGCTAAAAATACAGCTTTGAAATCACAGAAATAAATTACATTTTAAAATATTTTCAAATAGAAAACAGTTATTTTAAATAGTAAATATATTTCAAAATGTTACTGTTTTTGCTGTATTTTGGATCAAATAAATGCAGGTTAGTGAGCAGAAGAGACTTCTTTAAAAAATATTAAAAATAAAACTTTTGACTGCTAGTGTATAGAAAAATATAATGACATGCTTCCACATGTAAATTAACTATCATGTCTGTTTTATTAAGGACACACAAAAAAACACGTATAAAAGTAAACAAACAAGAAACCATGTAACATTCAGTGGATTTTACAGTTTAACATCATATATTGATTTGATTTGATTACCCATAATCCTCACTGAGGACGAGCTTCAAATTGAATCAGAGTCTGGTGTCCATCATTATCAAACACTGACCGATCAGCTGATCAGCTCCAGACCTTGATCTCTCCCGTCCAATCACACGTGGCCGTGACGGCGGGAATGATGGGATGCAGCGCGGCGCAGACGCAAGCGTGTTGGTGAGCGTGAAGCGTGCTCAGGCTGCATGAGCTCTGGAAGTCATAGAAGTGCACAGAACCTGTAGAACTGCCAGAGACCAGAACGCTTCCGTCCGCAGAGAACCCACAATGCACTGCAAAACCCTCCACCTGCAAACCACAACATCACAATTATTAAATCAGTCACACGGTCTTCTCTGGAACTGCAGCTGGAGTTAAAGGGGTCATGACATGGATTTTTTTTTACCATTTTAACATGTTCCTAGAAGTTTACTTATAATGTTAAAGTTTTTCACACACACACAAAAAAACTAATATGTGGAAAAATGACCCTCAATCTGACCCTCTGTCTAAATCGACCTGTTTTAAGGGGCGTGTCCTTTAAGGCTTCTCAGTAATCGGCTGCTTCTGAAGACTGGAGTAATGATGCTGAAAATACAGCTTTGATCACAGGAATAATACATTTTAAAATATATTCAAATCGAAAGTTATTTTAAATAGTAAAAATATTTAACAATATTACTGCTTTTGCTGTATTTTGGATCAAATAAATGCAGGCTTTGTGAGCAGAAGACACTTCTTTAAAAACATTAAAAATCTTACTGTTCAAAACCTTTTGACTGGTAGTGTATGTTAGCCTATAGTTTGAAGTTAAAGATATTCATATTAATTAGGTGAGTCTGGGACGATTATTTGACAGTGATTTCACATTTCTTGTTTGTATGAAGGCTAAATACAAATACAAGGTGAACATTAATTTATTTGTGCTGTTTTTGTTTTCTAAAATATTATATTTTATATGAGGTGTCATAGACTTGGCAAATTCATTTTCCATAAGTTTGTTAGACAGACATCTGTTGTGGGCATTCTTGGCAGTTTTTTATGAAGGTATTTTTGGTGCAGAACAACCGAGCGTCCGTGACAGCGGAATTTGTCGTTGTAGAGAATAGCCACACATGTGTATCAGTAAATCTGAAGTCACAGACAAAAGTTGCAAACTTGTAGATATTTTTTTATCTTCCACAAACACAACACAACAGTTACACCTTCTTGAATCCTTCACTGCAGGTGCACAAATCCTATTCTACGAATCACAAATCAAGAAACTCGTACGCTCACATGTTTTGCTAATATTGCTGCAATGAATATGGTGTAAAACACATTCACACACCTGCATCAAAAAATGTGAAGTCACGGACGAATTTTGTACATCCGCAAATCAGTTTGTGAATTCTTGCAATACGCTCAGTTGTTTTGCACCAAAAATACCTTCATAGGAAGTCAACAGCACATAAATGCTAGAATGTAAATTTAGTTATTTTATGCATTTTATGGTTTCATTGTCGTACTTTACAAATTAACGAAAAATGAACGCATATTTTCTAGTACAAGTGCACAGTGCTCACATTTACTTGTGCATTAAATTGCAAATAAAAAAAATACATATCAGCTTGCGCCTTATATTGTGATTTCGAATTGCAGAATATTTTATTAGCCTATATGCATGTGAGAGACGTTCTTAAATGTGATGCATATATACAACGGGTTTGTAGCTTTAATCGCCTTTTCGGGTCATTTCATCACTTAACTGACGATAGAACTACGACGTTGTACGCTCATAGTTTCTAGTGCGCTTTATTTATGATGAAGTGATATAGAGCGTGCGCCTCATATTCGCGTAAAGTTGAAGAGTGTGCGCCTTGAGCGCAGTAAAACGGCTGAAAGGACAGGAAAGTTTGTTTTTCTAAGTTTTACTGACATATAGCCTAACAACATCTCATCAAACCGCAGTTCACTGTTGTTCT